CAGCGTGCGAAATCAAGCGTTTTCGTTCCTGAAATCCTCGTGTAGCTCGCACACCTCTTGTCGGCGGTAACCATTCCCCAAAGAAAAAGCTCCTCATCGTCTAAAGAGCTCTCCTCCCCCCTCCCTTGACCATTATCTCTCATCCCCCTTTCGCCTCTGTGTCCTTCGCTGTTTCTCTGCTTCTGTCGTTCGGCCAATTCCGTCTTCCGTCCATCTTCGCTCTGCGTCGCTTGCTTTAAGAGAAAATAAGATTTATCTTACGGTAGGTTGGTCTTCTTTTTTCTTGAAAGAATGACGTTCTCTTTGGTCACAACCCGTCCTTAAGGTTACTTTTGGTTTATTAAATTTGCTGGTTTTAGAGAAATTAAAAGATTTAATATAGGACACTTTTTAATGGTTTTTCTTTTATTTTGACCCTTTGGTGTTTCGTTGATCAGCGAAATTAATGTTCTTTGTTGCCTTTTCAAAAGCAGACTGGCGGTGTTTGTGTAGATTCGATTGACAAGCAGGAATTAAATCGGAAATTTTTAATTTTCACGGCCCGGTACCATGGAAATTATAATTTTGGCGAATTTTTGTAATACAAAAAGGCACAGCTCACACCTGAAAGCTGCAAGAGTAAACACTATACGGATTTAATTAAAAATTTGTTCCACTGTTTTGAATTTGATAAGATAAAAATAAAATAGAAATTTCAATATTTACGATTAGTCTTAAATGTATCGTTTTTTAAACAGAGATTAATAGATTTGGTTGCTTTATGTGTTCATTTTTGAATGACAAATACTCATTAAAATTAGTAATATTAATGGTACTTCTTTGTCGCATATTTAATTCCAATAAAGAAAAACATGTAAGTGGTTTACAAATTTGGATAAATGTATTTAAGAGTTTATCGACCGACTTTTTATGTAAGATTCCGTACAGCAAGAAAATTTTTACATAATAACAGTTATTCAACTGCACATTGCTATTTGTGCACACATAAAAAACTTTTCCGTTAATACCTCTTACCACATACACTACTAATAATAATAATCATAACTCTTTCAAAAAGTCTGCATTAAATCAATGGATAAATTTACTCTAAGCAAGTATAGCATAGAATTTTATAAAAGACCAATAACAATGTCAACCCTGAAAATTTTTAAATAACGAAACTAAGAGAAAAATTCGTTAAATTAATGCAATTGAATTCTAATAAGTTCAAATGAACATTAATTGGTATGAATTGGGCCATAATCTTTTACAAGTGAACACGCTCACCCGATTCTCAGATATATTAGTTTCTCTTATAAATCCTGCTATAGTATAATTAAACATTTTCAAACTACCCAGAAAAATGAGGTGTCAGAATTTTCTATAAGAAACGGTTTATATCGTAATTATATTATCATTTTACACGCAACTTAAACATAAACAGCTGAGACATAAACATAAGTGGTTAGCTAGGATTTATTAAATGTTACATAGGACAAGATAAACTAGTAAAATCACCTAAATAGCATGCAGAACAGTTAAATTAAACTGTTTCTAGAGCCCTACGAAGCACACAAGGCATTCTAACTTTAATTATTATGAAAAGTGAATAATATGTGGAGCTTCAAACATTTCGAAAAATCATGAAAAACGTTAATCTGTTAGATAAGACATTTTAACAAAGGAAGTCGGTATACACGAAGCACAATTCCGTTTTCAAAGACAGATTCTGACGAATTCTAAAAATTATTATTTTCAGCATCTCTGTTGTGATCTTTACGTAAAATACGTGGTCTTGTTCCCCTCAAAGTAACGCGGTTCCGGACGGTGCGCCGCAAAAAGATTACGGAACGATTAGGCATGCTCGGTGGAAAGGGTTGCGCGAAGAGGGACCATTATTTTCATCAGGCACGTCATCCCCTGTACGCACGGGGATAATTCGAGCCGCTGAATTTTTTCCACTACTCACCCACCCTTGCTCCGCCACCCTCGCGGTCTATCCCCATTTCAAGAGAGTGAAATTTCGTTTTGTACCGAAAAAAAATTGCAGAGGATAATAGACTTTAAGCGACTCCCGCGACTTTTTAATTAACGTTGAATAACGGGCCTCATCAACGCTCTCCGAGCGTCCGGAATAATTAGCGATAGTTTGAGCGCTCTCCACTTGGACGATAAATAAACTGCAATTACCGTAAATATAACAAATACCGTATATAACGTAAAACGTTTTGGAAATAAATTTGGAAAATTGATAGAAGTTGCATTAAAGACTGCAGAATGCTGTGTGCGTTGAGAAAATGGTAATGTTTCAACTAACGGGATCATTTTTATGTGGCTAAATAATGTTTTCATGTGCATTATATTATTAGGTATGTAAAGGAATAAGTCACTATGCTTGTCACATTTATTTTTACTCGTTTTTAAGGATATAAAATGTCTACCTATATTATCGCATGCGTATTACTAATTGTTTCTTGATATCTTAGGCCATTTTGTGACACATTCTTCTACTCTCTTTTTTTTTTGAGTCATTTGATCAAAATGACATAAGATCTACGAGAACAATGATGAATGTTAATGGAGAACCATTTATTTTTGTTTCTCGTAGGAGTAAATATTATATTTGGAAGAAAATAGTTTTCAATTAGTCATCGGTACAATTACTATTTTACAGATTAATTCTTTAATAATATATTAGATCGGTGGGAAATAAATGGTACTTTGAGTATGTTAAGATTAGTACTGTGTCTAATATAACTTTAAAATATACAAAATTTCCTTAGTTGTTTTTGTAGAACTATAATGATTAGATTTTGGAGAATTAAAATGAATTTTATATAAACTATTAGGTGTATGCAAAAGTAATAGCAGTTCTTTCATCAATAATCTTGATTAAAAATGCTGCAGTATCTGTTAGTCGAAAAAAATTTTCTCTTTCTGTAACTAGGTATTTCCCAATTTTCTCGCAAAAATTGAATTCCCAATCGGTAAAACAGAATAAAACTTCAATACCAACATAAACGTGGCTGCCATTATTTTGGTACACTCAGATACAATTATAAGTAGACTATGGATGTTTCTGCGTTTACAGCGTCTCTTAAGATAGAAAATAGAATGAAATAAAAGTTTCGATTACGTAATAAAAGTTTGATTAACGTAATCAAGCCTCTAGTGCAGAATTCAAAATTCTGTCCAATATCAATTTTTAGATATTAGTAACGAAAATCGTGAGTTTGCTTAATCTTCTACAGTCTAATATACTGCAAATACGAATGGTGATCAGTTATCTATTTCCCACCAACAGAATAATCCCTTCGGCATAATCAGTCGTTGTATACATCAAACAGAATTTCAAATTCTAAATTGATAACAAATTTCACGCGTCATAAATCGGTCATAACTCAAAAGAATGTGTATGAATTTACGTCAGCATCGATTTATCATCTACCGTTCTGCATTTGTCACTGAAATGTTCCGACATCGCTTACGAAAATCGATTAAGAGTCGGAAGAGCAAGGAGAAAAAGGGAAAAAGGGAAAAGGAAAAAGCAAAATGCCAAGAGGTGGAGAGAGAGATATATATTCGTTACACTCGTAGATAAGCTCCACTGCATTTGATCTATGATGAGCGCTGGAAAACTACGGTCAGAGCGGTGAAACTCTCATCGCCGACACCGGTTTTCCACAAAAGGGCCTCGAAAGTTAGTTCTTGATACGGTTGTTCCACTATGTCACCGCGGAAGCTATTTATTAGCACCTCCCAACATCCATTGGGGATTATTTTCGTAACGGGAACATTGTGCCACCTTCATGTAATTTGAAGTTCGTTAAACTCTATAACCCTCGACCATAAAACGTTCTAGCTTCCTATATAGTAAATATAACATAGTAAATATTTTGTAAGTAGTATCATTACATATCATACTAGCGATATTTCATTTAAATAAGTACATACTTCAAAATTTTAATTTTGCAAGAACACAGATGAGAATTCTTGGCTTCATAACCAAACTAAGAGTGTTTATGAATTTATTGTATCTCTTAACTGGCAAAGCAGGGTAAAATAAAGTTTAATGGTATTAATGTTCTATTATTAGAGTAATAAAACTCCTACTACATAAATCTCTGTCTAACTCTTATACACTGCTCAAAACAAGTGAATAATCGCTACCGGTTACTGTATGCTAATGAAATCCAATAGGCATAATAAATTAACACATCTTCCGTATTATATTGACACTTAGTTTTGTTTTTATAAAATAACTTTCCAGGAATTATTGGCGGCCTATACGTACACGTATATTAGGTATTCTCTAATTGCTTTGTGTAGTGTATACATATATGTATACATTAGTGTCCAAAACTTCAAATTCGCACAGACATTCGCAATCTAATCAGAGCAACTATCAAGTCTGTGTCGTATGGATTTTAAACTATTTGAGATCTGCTTTACTGAAAAATTCTTAAGTATAAAAGTTTATTTTTAATAACGGCTAATAATAAGTTATACACACGTTTTCAAACACAGTTTTGCACTTAATATGTTACCTAAAAAAGATAATAAATAATACGAAATTTCCCATTGTCTGGAAAGTTACTACTTATCTAGTTATTAAATTCGTTTCACCTTTTTTAACCATTTTCCGTAGTTGTACATATGTATGTAAATAGTGTTAAGTAAACCACGTCAAAAAGTACTTGTCACTATTTACAGACATATCAAACACATAAAAAAACGATTTACATTTTGATATACACAAGGAGTACTTACTGAGAAACACATCAAATTAAAAAATTAAGAATTATGTATAATGTGTGTCTCTTGATGTGTTACATGTACAATCTTACAAAATATGTGTTTAACGAATATTTCATATTATTTGTAACAAGGCAGGAATAATTTGTTAAGTAATAAAGAAAATAGACATTTTCTTCAATATCATGAGTATCGACTTACATAATTGTTTTAAAAAAAGCTTCTACAGGACTGGAGTTACTAATTAACTAAAACTATTGTTTTAGGCGATTCTACGCAATTAGACCTTGATGGATTACTGTACATCGGTGGTGTGGGAGCCCCATTCGCACCTTTAACAGTGCCAGCAGTACTGTGGACAGGTGCCCTGAGACAGGGTTATGTCGGCTGCATGAGAGACCTTGTCATAAACGGACAACCGATCGATATAGCTGGATACGCTCAACAACAAGACTCTGGTAAGAAATAGTGCAAATTTTATAGTAGACTTCAAATAGAACATTTTCCTTAACGATTGTAGAACCCTTTCCATATTTAATAAAAATTAACTTAACTCCCTATCCATTTCATAGTAAATATATAATATCTACTTTGCAAAATTAGTTGTACGAAGGGTTTCTGCAGATTACATGACGTTTAATTAAATTATTTAATAATTTTGTAATAATAAGTAATCAAGATAATACGTTTGGAATGTGTAATCTTATAAGAATGGATGAAAAAGTGAGAAAAGCTTATCTTGCCATAAGAATAGCTGTCATTTGATGTAATAAAATATTTTTAACCCTATTGTAACTTAGAAATATAAATAATTTTAAGCCTGGTGTAACCTTCGAGCAAATCTACAACAAAGATATAAACAAATTATGCAAAATTCAATTCTAAAATTATATTTATGAATTGTATATGTGACCGATTTTCTATTCACTGTTTACTGCACAAACTTTTCTTCAGATTTTAAAAGAATACTTTTTCTAAAAAGAATTTTAAAACATGTTAACATTTTAATAATATAATGCCCTTTATATGTGTTTTCGTGTTTTTACATGAAATGTATAAAATAGAAAATATTATATTTACTGATATTCTATCTTGTTGATGAACGTGACTGCAATGTGCTGTATTATGTAACATGTTTACTAAACGTTGGCCGAAGTGCACGTACATACATAGTTGTATGTACGTTGAACGAGTCTCTTGTTTACCATATTCTTGAACCTACTTCATCTGGAAAATGGGGCATACTTACCAACACACTGTAATAGCTAAATTAATTTACTATGTCAAGTTTCATGGTATAAGATAAAAATTAAGTATAATACTAATTTTAAAGAACCTGATAACGAAAAAGAAAAATTACTTAATAGTGAAAAAGACATTAACTTGCATGTACATAATTGATTTTATATAAATTATTTAAGTTATACAAGCAGACTCAAAATTATAAAAATTGAATTTCAAGGTAAATTGAAGAGATAGTATTTTAATACGAAGTCATGCATGTCAAAGTAATAATTTTTATATTGATTATTTATTTTTGTATTAAAAATTAGTTTATAGCACTTAATATGTTTAAGTAACAGAAGAAGTGAAAATTAACTGAAAAAAATTATTTTTGAAGAAAAAAAAGATGTTCGCTGCGGACAGGATTCGAACCTGTGCGGGCATAGCCCATCAGATTTCGAGTCTGACTCCTTAACCACTCGGACACCACAGCTTATGAAACAACGGTCTTCTAAATTGAACTTCAACCAATCTCTAGTGACTTTTTATAACAGTAATATTTTGTATATAATTGTAATTTATAAATTCTCATATTCTTTCATACAATCATACGAAAAATCCCTTTTTTAATAAATATCATGTTATAAACATGTGAAGTTTTTATAGTATCTCGTTTCAACTAACTTTTGAACATTAGAAAAGTCATCATCAAAACGCAATTAATGACTTACCGTCTCCTTATAAAAATTATAAACAAATAAATGAATGTAATCAAATTTTTTATAACAATTCCGAAATAAATATTGTAACTATTAACATAAGTGAAGAGTTTATTCGAAAACAAGAACAAAAACGCTCTCACGTATTAAATAATTGATTAATACTAACAATTTGTTAATTAACTTGTTATAATTATATTTTATTGTACTATACACATTATATATTTGTTCGAATATATAACAAGTAAATACGATTACACAAAGTCATTACATAAACTTATAAGTAACTTTTAAATACAATTAAACGATTTTCATATAATACAGGGATAAAATTATATACATTAAAATTAAAGTACATTACATTTTAAGCTTCATAAGCTAGAACATTGTTCATAAAAAGACGGCAGATCTTTATGCAAATTCAAATTGTGCGCAGAATAACATAAAAAAACAGGAATGGTGTGTAAATTTGATATAAATAAATAACAAATATTATGAAATTTCGTTACAGTTTTCATTTTATTATCATTTACGCGTTCGTTAATGACACAAATGCATAAAGTCCAATCATGAAATTATTCTGGAAGCTTTTTAATTGTTCCTCTGTAAAATTGTGAATGGTGAAACGTGCGGAATCCGTTTCGGAAGGGAAAAAAGAGTGTTTTTCCCGGAGGATGAGAAATTTTCGCAAAAGAAAGAACTCAGTCCCGGAGGGATGAACGACTTGAACCGGAAACACTTGTCACTGTCTACATAATTTCGTTTCTCTGGACAATTTTGCAGGTGCTGTCAGGCCGGCTTGTCATTCTCAACCGCCCCACTGTCCTTCACAGCCGTGCATGCACGGCGGCCATTGTCTCGAGGGGTGGAACAGATTTCACTGCGATTGTACCGGAACACCCTTCACCGGGCCTACATGCGGAAAAGGTAAGACCGTGCTTTACTTGTAATTCCATTTTATAGGATTTCCCGGGCGATTCAATCACTGGTTTACAGAATGACGTGCTGTCCCTGGCGTTTGAAATTAAATTTATTTGTCGATACTATTCGAACACGTGTTTACCCTTTTATTCCCAAATTATTTAACAATTATAAAAAAATATTTTTCTGTATTTTTGCCTGCATTACATGGCATATAAATGATTCACTAGAACATTTAAACATTATAAAAGCATTTAATGGCATTTTTCATTCGTTACCGTTTGACAACTTTTCTACATTTATCACTGTTATGTATAGTAATTTACATTATAACGTGATTGTACAGAATAAAGACTATTTTTTTGCTTTTAATCAGTGAGCCTTTCTACAGTATTTGAAAGGAATTAAGGCTTTATAAATGTTTATTCAATTACTAACAATGTTCGACACTTGAATTCATCGATGACCGATGTTGTTACGGGCAATGAATCAGTATGAACTGTAAAAAATAATACTTTGCTTCGCACAATTAAAATGGCAAAGCTATAAAGAAAGAGAACAAAATACTTTGTAATAACATTAGTAGATGCAATGCAATGATTCAATAGTCATATTAATGAATTCTATTTTCCTTTCTTTTTAGTCCGGTTTTCCTTCGCAATTGTTACTAAACGTGATTACTTTGGTAGTCACATTCCTACCATTTTCATTCCCGAATCGTTTTGCAGTCTCTTCATAGCATTTTTTCCAAAATTTTCTATCGTTTCTGAAAGACTCATATCATTTGGTCGACCGCATCGCGTAGTGTAAACAGAAAGATCACCGGAAATAGTTCGGCACTCTACCTGCTAAGAATTTTCTTTCTATAAAAAATAAAAATGCAAATTAAATTACACAGTTTTGTGTATTCCAATATGTGTATGTACTGAAACTCCGACAGTCCAACTTAATATGCAGGAGGCGGTTATCGAGTAAATAATCAATTTTTCGTGCGATACAATTTAGTTATTACAAGTACTCATAAATCTTAAAGTTCTATGATGGTTAAAATTGATAAGAACCAAGTAATTCTCCATAACTTTTTATTCCATTTTCATTAGACGCATCAACATTGCATCTGAACGGAACACAGCAGATGACAGCGCTTATGCCGGAAGATTCGAAAACGCAAGCGGAGGAGGTTATCGTACGATTCAAAACGACCAAACCACGCGGATTGCTCTTGTCAACAAGCCTAGAAAACAGTCCTGATAGACTACAGATTTACCTAGACGAAGGTAAAGCGACTCTGCTGATTCACATCGGAGACAAAGAAAAGGTGAGTGCAACGCCAACGTATTGCATAAATTTTCAAGCATTACAACATATACTTGAAGCAACGAAAATATAATTTTTTAAAAAGTATACTCGTTGTAAGTTTACACAACCATAGATAGTTCAGGTAACTTACGAGTTAATATCCACTGTAAAGTAAACAATGTAGATTACAGCTTCAAGAAACAACTTGTATTTGGACATTGAAAAATTCTAAGAAGAATTAATTTATTTTCATTTTGGAAAAATTCCCCCGTTATATTCCTTTGATATTTCTAAAGTTTACACTTACTCTCAAGAATTGTCATATAGAAAAACTAAAAAAAATAATAGAATCTTTAGAAAATTTAACTGTTTTCGAAATCTTGAAAGCAGCCCACAAATCACTTATATCAGAAATTGTGCTTTTGTTCTTCGACACTTCATAGCTTCCATTATTTTTCCACAGTTCCAATCTTCTTGTAGTACGAATCAAACCATCAAAATTTTTGAAACCAACCCTAATCAACACTGATAACCAGTTGTATACAAGTTTCGAGCAAATGCCAGCAAATAATGACAAAGTTGTTTAAAAAACTATAGCCATCTGTTTCCGCATTTGGCTTGGGTTTTGCAGGCAACACCACCTGACAAAATGGTACAGCAAATTAGCAGCAAATATTGCAACATAACCTGTATCAAAATGGGGAGCACAAACGGAACAGAGTCTGCGCTAGCCAATTTGCTGCATATGTTGCTGCCAATGTGCGCGCAAATTCTTTATAGTGAATCTTGCATCAAACTTGTAGCCCTAACTTTATAACAGGTATTGGACAAAATTTGGCTTTGCAGATTTGGCTGACTGGGTAAAGTTATAAAATATGATTATGTATTTGAGTCCTAAATATTAGAAATTCCAAAAATACCAACTACTTTATAGTTCAACTTGAGCACTAAAATTATTTATGCATTACAATGGTAGCGACTTTGGGACCTATGCCTAAGTAAAACATGATGTTAACTTATTCACTCACGAAAGATTAAAAACTATAAAATATTTAAACGGTGAACATGATCGAACGACAATCCAGGACTTGTTCCTCTCAAAATGACTGAACGATCAACAGGCTTCTGTTTGAAATCACCATCGGTGTCGTTCACGATTAATCGCAGGCGCAAAGTATATTAACCTGACCGTCGTGAAGCGCGATAACGCATGAAAATTCAAGCGACCTTGCGCATCCCCCGTCGCGATCATAATTCATCGATCCGTTCGGGGGCGTTCTTCCGCAACAGAATAAATTGGCTGTAAAAATTCAAATCGAACGAAAATAGAGGCTGCCGATGGAGTCCCGTGTATTCATAATTCATGGCGGACCTTGGGATTCAAGTTCGTTGGCCGAAGATGTACTCGAAAGAGACATTGGAAGTGTTCTCTGTACTCACATAGTATCGTCTGATTGTCGAACTGAAATTTCAATATTCCTTCTGAAAAGTTTATTCTCGTAGAAATATTCTCTACGAGCGAAGAAACTTTTCCTTGAAGTAACTGCTATAAGTATATACGAAAGTCGTCGCAGTTAAGTAACATATTTTCATTGCAAATATTGTCTATATTGTATCACGTAACTCTTGTAATGGGTTAGGTATTATTAATTTAACAAGCATTGAGCCTAATTTTTAATTTAATTGCATTTTACTGTTTATAAATAATATTAGTATCGAAAGATTTAAACAAATAATCAGTCAATCATCACTATTAAAATTTAAAATGCAGAATGATTATACAAAAGATCGAGATTTTTAAGGACGTATTTAATTTCAGTATTTAAATTGTATATATAAACAAAGACACAAAATAAATTGTACGTAATCACGATATGTACCATAATTAATTTATTTTCTGTCTATTAAATTGAAAGTCTCCAATACCTTTTTTATTTCCTTCTATATAGAAGGTTAGTTCTATTATACACGTTTGATAAAATTTTACTCATGATATACGATACATATTTTTTATCTTACGCTGAAATCATATGAAAATGGAAAATTCGAGCAAATTACTTAAAACGTTTTAAGGTATTCCTGCATCTACCAGAAGTAAACTACATATATTCCTGCATACGGACTAATATGGTTCCTGATTGAGATGGATGATTCGTAATTGCACCCGACCAAGTAATTTCGAATGTGGTTGAAGCATATTCAGTTCAAGTCAAGCAAACCTGCTTCATGATCCCAATCAAAATGTTTGATACGATTAAATTCTACAACAATATGATTCAAGCACGTAGTCATATAGAAAAATACAGAACAGATTAAACGGTAACGTTTTTCTGAATAAAAGACTAAACATTGCCATTTAAATATACATATACCTCTCATTAATTATAATTCTATTCTTTGCAATTTATTAATACTGTTATCTCAGCAAAGGTTTATACGTATGCATAAATTAAATTGTATCGATTTTCTTTTATTTTTATTAATTAGTTGATTCCATGTTACAATAAATAACACTTGCATTTAGCGACAAAGTAACTGTTCGCCCTAGGAGTGCAGAAGGTTAAACGTTCTATTAAATCTTTTAAACGTTCAAAAATGTAATTAAGTCAATCAATGAATAATTTATTACTATTTGCTATTTCAATATTTATTTTCGAAAGAAAATATGTAATCATGTTCACTTAATAATATTCCTCACTACTGTCAGACATCTTTCATCATCTTTATCAACCAGAAAACTGGAAGATATATTAAACATTTTACTTACATCGTTATTTTGCTAAGGAAATAGTGGATTACTTTTGTACCAAACAAGGTTAAAGGTTTTTAAACATTATTCAGTTATTTGAAAACTTTAGTTTCCTCTTATAACTACGTATTTCTATTCTGTATATTTTTATACCAAAATGGTTTCTAGCTTTCTATTTTAATATCTTTGAAAAACCCATATCTGGGGAGTGCTCACGAGAGAACACGAAAATATAATCTTTTAGTACGTGAAAACAGAACTAGAAACGTGGCTGCGAGCATACATATATACATATCTATTTTAGGTGGAAACGTAGGGTTCCAGATTACAACGGCGTGGCGTAGAGTTAACGGGGGTTGTAATTTACGTTTATGTTTCAATCTCGGTCTCTACACGGTTTCGATAATTGAACGGAATAATTGATGTGGTAATGAACCTCTTGATTAACCAAGGGAAGTTAGATCGTTTGTGACTGTGTGCATTAACTATTCGAATAACATTTTATTTAATAGACTCTCTAACAAACTAACCAAATGTTATTCGCTATGGAAAACTCTACGCAATTAAACTTTTAAACATCGCGTTTAAGTTGTATGTTATATTGAGTTGAGTGATAAGTAACATTAATTGAATAGCAACTACTAGTATATTAAATATTGATGGAGAAGCTGTAAAGAATGAATGTTCGTTGTAAAATATTTTGAACTATTTTAAGTTTGAAAAAATAATTACAGAAGTTATTTTTAAGTCATCTTAATATGTCTATGCCAAAAACATATAAAGGGTGTCTCAGCTAAAAGTGATGACCTAAATATCTCCTCTATTTTGAATGATATAAGAAATGTCTTACACTTTGAATAGTTCCAGATGAGAAAAATTTTTTTATTGTCACAGAATTTTCATTATTTTTTCCATATTCAAGATCACCTCATAGTCATAAGTTGCGCATTTATAAATGCATCGTAACACCTGCTACAATATGCAACAGAAAAAAGGATATGATTTCCGATAAGAAAATATCGGCGATCTTAAAAATGTTTAAGGAAAAATGATCATAAAGATTCTGTTTCCGATACTTCTCTTTTGAAACCATTCAAACTGTGCTTGAAACATTTCTCATATTATTAAAACTAAAGGCCATATTTAGATGTTCGATCTTAGCTGAAACACCCTATTCTTTTATATAAAATATTCTGCAATTTTTAATCGAACTAAAATTAAAAGGGAGGATTCCAGACGACTTTTAAAATTAAGTTACAATTTTTAAGTATGTATTGAATAAATATGAGAATAAGATAGGTATATAATTGTATTAATATCGACATAAATTGAATAGATAGTTTCGCATGAAATCTTATGAGTTAAATAAATGACATTATATTTGAATGACCTCGGTGCACGTACAAATAGATATGAAGCTATCCGATTGGTAAACAGATGGGAACGAAAATTAGGTCAGTGGGTGAACACCGTGTACCAATTAAATCGGTCGAATTAATTAACCGCGCGCAAAATTACCCACCGACTTCTGCAATATAGATTACTCGTTTCGGAAAAGGGAACGGCGATTGATTAAATAAAACGTTTTCATGCAATAAGTAATAATTCTCCTATTATTGAACTCTAACTATTGAAGAATTTACTCCACAAATATTGTAAATATTAGATAACTTCACAAGTCTCTAAAGTTCTATGTCCATAAGTCTGGAATAATTTTTTCCTATATAGAAATTGATTTATTCAATGTGTCTCCATAGAATTCAATTCTATTCTAAAATTCGCCCATTGTTCCGTTATGTACATTTTAAATTATGAACGTCTAATACAAAAAATTAATTACTATTCATTTGAAAGTTTAATAATATTAAATCTTTATACTATATAAAATAACTAATACAACAAATTTTTTACTACTCACTAAGTGAAAAGTGAAAATGCTCCAGCACCTGCTTTATAGGTGGTATATGTAGAGATATACATACTCTGAATACAAAACAATAGTCAGTAATTATTCAAAGTTATAACCCTCTTTGCAAAAGACAGATGTTTGTTATTGATTATGACATATATTTTACAGCAGGTATTAACGTTTCGTATTTCTTGAAAATGTTTCGTTCTTACAAAATAAGTGTATATACAAAGCTTTTCCTTATAGTAATCTGTACAACTTTATCCATTGTAAGTAAATATACTAGTTTTAAAGCGCTTGTTCTCTAAATTTATCTCTAACTAAATGATAACAGTTTTTTTTTAAATTCATTCCAACAATC